GGGGGAACGTGAATGGCCTTACTGTTGAGGGTCAAGAAAGAATCAAAGAGCAACAAAAACAGTTTACCAAGTTGTTCAAATCTTTTGTCAAACTTGTGGATGAAGTTTATGATGAACGAACCTTGATAGCATTTGAACTGTCCAAGAATTGCAAGTATTGGAGATGGCCGATGGTTAGAAAATTCCTTATAGAACGTTCCATGACTACTCATCATTTTGATGGTTGTATGTTGGGTGTTCTTGGAAACAACGGTCAACCCATGAAGAAAAGTTGGACTATTGCTGGAAACTTCAAAGAGCTCGCGGTGTTAGACTCATTTAAATGTGATGGCAAACATGAGCATGATCAAAGTAGGGGCAAAGCTCTTAAACTTGCTTAGAACTATACTTTCAAGTTGACCGACATGCTCCATGAGTGTTTCCGGGTAGCTGTGGTGGGCCAAACATCCAAAAGGATTTCACCCGCTGTCATTCGTGCCTGTCCTGCTAAAATGGCTGACTCGCGATACGCCACAGCACACCCGGCCAGCCGCGAGGCTGCGCTCGAAGCCACACGTGAGGCTAACAAAGATGCATGGTTGCTCCTTCACAATCGCATTTTGTATGCATTGGCCATGCGCAATGCAGGCGAGAATCAGGCTGCTCAGGACCTCGTGGATGGATTGATGACTGAATGGACGCCGGCTTCGGCCCTGAGGTTCTATGGTCGAGAGGATCCGCTTGCAGAATACCTTAGCTTCTGCTTTTTGCCAAAGGAGTCCCACATCGAAAAGATCATGCTGCCAGAGATGCCCGTCAATGATGTAATCTGGATCTTAGTCTCTGACTCGTCATGTGCATTGATCACAGGGCGTAGGAAAACACTTAAGAAGTTTGACCTGTCCGAGCATTACCGGCAGCGCAAACCTAAGTATGTGACTGAGTTCATCCATGAGATGCTTTGGGGCAAAACTCTGCAGAAGCTGGTCAAGCGTGGGATTGAATTGGCCGCGGACGCCCGCGAGCGCTACCCTGATGCACGCATCAACCTGCATTTGTCCTGGTTCGGGAATGAATTGGTAGGAGAGGATGGGATTGCCCAAAATCCAAATTGGCCGTACGATGGCCCCAACGGGCACTGGCCCACGATCATGGATGATTGTGAGCGCCACTTGACTTGGTACATCACTAAGGCCAAGGAGTTGGACTTGCAGTCGGCCGGTCTCACGACCGCGCCTTGGAGCGCAGATTACGGCATTCATCCCATCTTCGATCAATTTTTCGACGTCCTCGAGCCTCGATTCAGAGCTCTTACCAGCAGCCCGCAAGGGCTAGCCAATCCGAAGTATCCGTGGCTCAAAGCAAAGGGGTACGCCGATGCAATGGAATTCAGAGACCAGTGGCATTTCGCCAACTCTGAAGAAAATCGCACGCGCCTTGCTGCCTATTGGACAGCTACCCTTTTCGCAATTGATTGCGGCTGGCGGGTTGGTCGGATTGGTTTGCAGCTGTCTGAGTGTGTCCAGGAAACATGGGATGACTTGCGGAGGAACCTGAGCGCCGTCCTGGACGAGCTGCCAAGATCTTATCAGGAGACATGTGCAAGCATCACCAAGTTGCTTTTTGGAGAGTCCCGCAGACACATCACGCCGACGGGCAGGTCATTCACCAAGGAGGATGTCGAAGCACAGCAACCTGACACCGAGGACTACATCGACACCAAGACGATGCCTTCGGGCATGTTTGCCGAACCTCCCAAAGATGACCCTCCAAAGGCCGCCGGCGACGGCGAGCCCGCTGCATCCAGCAGAGCAACAATCCTGGTCCAGACGGCTGAGGTCATGTTGAAGTCGAGGCCAAACGCAGCACCAGTTCCAGTGGATGAGCCCGCAGATGACAAGAAGGCCACATCCAGCCAGTACCAGCCGCGGGCAACCGCGCGCTTAGAGGAACCTGCATCCGGCCACGTGAAAGCATATTGGATGGAAGAGCATTTGCCTGAATACCAATACACAATGGTGACCAATGCAGACGGGGATGATGTGCCCGGGATCCTCTTTGAAGGTACGGCTTATGAGCTGGAGCTGATATCGGCATCCGACGTCGAGACCATTGCAAGCCAAACTCGCGTCGACAAGAAGTTCTCCGACTTTGCAACTCGTGTCAACAAAGTTTGCAGGGGGCATGGATCCTGTTCCAAGGTGCCAATGGACAAAGACCTTTGGATCGACTTGGAGGATTTTGCCAAAGCCTTCCGCAAGGAAGTGCCCCCAGATGTGTTCATCACCGTCTCAAACCTGTTTGGCACTGCAATGAAGATCGACAAGCATGGCAAGAGTAGGTTCCAATTCTTGTGTGCAAAGATCTCCCATTTCCCTGTCGACAATGGCTTAGGTATGCCGTATTACCCTGTGAAAATTCGTGCAATTCAGGGTCACTCCGAAGCTGCCTTGAAATCCGCCGGGGGCCTTTATGCCAATTCAACCATGGTGTATTGCTCAGACCAAGTTTCCCCTGAGCGAAAAGCCGCCTTCACTGGCGTGCCCTTGTGTGCCATGACTGAGGTCCCTGAAATTGTTTTTCATCGCGCGATGAGAAGCAGTTGGAAGAGCATCGCGCAGAACGGCCTGATCCCAGGCGGCGGTGACACAGTCAACAGTGGCCGTGCTCATATCTACATGGCAGAACACTGTATCGGCACACAGGGATATCGATCTGGATTAAGAGCAAAATGTCCAGTCGAAGTCAAAATCGCAATGCGGCAAGCAGTTGAAGCTGGTGTCATCTTTAGTCGCACAGAAATGGATGGTATTTTGTGTTCAGAACGCATTCCACCGCAGTTTCTGGTCAGCATCTCAGAGGATGGACAGGTGCTTTGGTCCCGCGCCGAGAGCAATCTCGAGCCCACTACATGGACAGGCGCGGCATCGGCCTCAGCACCAAGTTCCAAAGCGGTCACCCTGACTGCCCGAGATGACGCAAATGACGACCCAATGGATGACACCAGCACGGGGCGACCCGATGCCACGTCCACTGATGATGCAGCCACTGCCTCAATGCAAGTTGACCAGCCGTCCGCAAGGACGCGCCGTGTTTACATTGCACCAAAGTACTGCGAACCTTTCATGGGCTCATGCCCCCTCTGCCAGGTTGAGTACGTCAGTGGCCAAGTGACATGCACCACATGTGGATACGAGCCACTCCCAGTGGACGAAAGTGGCGAAACAAAAGAGGCCGACAGATCCAACAGAAGGACCCGCATCCTTGAACGGCGAATGCAGAGCCTCGCCGGGTTCGGAATGTATGGGAAGATGAGCGGCACCCTGTTGACGGCTTTGACAAATGAACAAGCCGATCTTCTTCGCCGGGAACTGGGCCCCAGGGGAATCACATCCGTGGAATCAGCAGTCCTCAAAGACTGCCGCGATAGGCATCGTCGTGCAAAAGCGCTTGGATATGAAGATGTGGAAGACAGATTCGCAAGCGATGTCACTTTTTGCGACCGCATCCACCGTGAGGGGAAGGGCCTGCAGGATTGTATCTTTGATGATATGTTTGCATACGGCAACCTCCCCGATCCCCCAAGGACCAGAGCTCAGATCTCGGCTGGCGTCGCCGCCAATGCCCAAAATGAAAGCTGCTTATCCAAGCTGATTTTCATGTCACAGCCCCGAGGCGTGGATGGGTTCCCAGTTGAGTTCCGAAAAACATGGAAAAAGGTCTGGGGTTTCATGTTCGGCCGCCACATTTTTACAGAGGATGAATATATCAGCTACATCGGCCGTCGCGGCGCATACCGTGGCCTGTTGACCTGGAAGGGCACTGTCCAAGTTCCTTTTGATGGCACTCTTGAATTCCTCGAAAAGGTGTATGAGGAAAACCTTCCATTGGTTCGGGGCAACCTTGAACGCAAAGAGAAGCAGAGCGCCGCTGCAAAGGCTGGAGGTCCTGGAGGTCACAAGGCCGACCCCACGGTCGCGCCCACTGTTGAGCGAAAACGCAAAGCCGAAGCTGATGCATCCGCCACCACACATACTGACACAGCCGCCTCAAGCTCTGCTCGCGCAGACGCCTCGCACGCTGATGCCTCAGTTGATCCCAATAATGCACCATTTCTTGCACCCGAACCACCAACATCCAAAGCAGGAGCACGACCATTCTTGGAGCCTGAGACACCGCCCACTGCAAAAGCAGCAAGCACTGTCGCACCGAAGGCTGCAAGCTCCGGTCGCCCGGATGCCTCTTGGAGTTGGAATCGTGATCACTATGGTGCACGCCGAGAATGGAGTTTCTGGCGTGGGGCTTGGTATTACCGTGACGAGGCCGGCGGCCGGTGGATCTATTGGAACCGCAGGTAGACGATGATTTTCTTTTGTAGCATAGCGCAAGATGCGGCATGGTAATGTGCCTTCCTTGCAAAGCTGCGCTGGGTTTTACGGGCTTGAGCTTTTATAGGGACCTTTGAAAGACTGCACAAAAATGTTCAAAACCAAACAAACAGATTTGGCTACCCGCGAGGGTATGCTCTTCTGGGTCATTCGTTCTCCGCAGTCGTCCCTGCTCGCCCGAGGGGGGTGTAAAAACTCCTGCAGTAAAACCATGTAGTGTACATATCATCGTACTACTCTGTAGCGTTGGTTCAAAACAGTGCCAGCAGCTTAGCGGTTACTTGCCCCCATTAGTGTTGTAACATATTGGTGGCTGACCTTGTAAAATACATATAAGTTACTTTAATGCAACATAAGTTATGTATTAGTTACTATCCTTTAGGTTTTTGGGGATCATCACAGTTCATATTAAATGAGAAATCCGTTCTGAACCAGCCAGTTCTTTTCGAATATGATAAATGATTGTGCTCCCCTTTTTTCCGGTTAAATGCATCATCAATCCCTCAATATTTTGAATCCTGAAATATTTGATAAAAATATGCTAATAACACCATGTTTATTGGTATCATATATGGTTCTTACCGCACCCGTTGTCGAAAAATATGTTGTGTCATCGTCTCAACAATGTCCCAGGTTGTTGCTGACCATTTCGAAGCTCAGCAGCTTAGATGATCGCAGCAACCTGCTGTTGTGCTTGCAGGCGCATAGTTCTAGAAAGTTGGGGATGGATCAACATTGAAATCATTTATCAACTTGCATTTACATACGATATTTTCGGATATTTTTGTAACAAAAATTAAATCCCAGCTATTTTGATGTGAACAGAAGGGTGCCATGGTTTGGACACATGTTTGACCCAAAGGTACTGTAGTGAACAAGGCTAAACGGCTGATTGAGTATGGGTTAGTGGGTTTCTTTTGGCCAGAGATGGAAAAAAATATGTTGGTTCATGGTTGTTTTCTGTTTTTGGGTCATAAAGAGGGATATGTACTGCACAGCCAGTCGTGTTGGGGGGGTATCTAAGATTGTCCGTGCAGAGACGATAAGACGATGATTATTTGATAGCACCAACAAAATCCAGAATGCATGCTATTTCACCTACAATCGCTGTCTATCTTTAAGATCGTCAAGAGTTGTATATATAGAAGTATAGTTATCCGATTGGTGGTTTGGAACATCTGGATTATTTTTGCATATATTGGGAATGTCATCATCCCAACTGACGAACTCATATTTTTCAGAGGGGTGGCTCAACCACCAACCAGTTTTATGTTACCCTCTGGTAAACTAACATAACTATGGAAAATCACCATTTTTAATGGGTAAATCCACGTTAAATGGCCATTTTCCATAGCTATGTTAGTTTACCAGAGGTTATATTCAATATGTATCATAATTGTATATACGTGAGTGTGGGTCAAAATTGAGGACCTACCGCCTTTTCTTCGGTCAATTTTTACCTGTGCATAGTCAAAGCATCCCTATTGATGATCCCAAATCGATGAGCATCTTCTAAGGTCGGTATACCATGCTGGTTGGTGCTTTGGACATTTTTTATTTTCCATTTCATATATGGGATAATCCTTCCCATTGACTAATATCTTTCAAGATGGTTAAAACATGTTAAAACCACCAACCAGCATGTTTTTGCGTTTTTAAACACCAAGACGAATCAAGATGAATCAAGACATTTGTCATCATCCGATTGTTGTGCAGAGGTAGTATCTGCGGTTGGCAAAGCCTGTCAACCCCGGATAAATAAACCATGGTTTATTGAGTTTATTGTGGGGGGTAACCTCCAAATATTGTGACGATATGATACAAAAAATGGGTAACCCCTCAATTCAACAGCATAGACATTACACATGTTGATTACTGCAGGACATTACACATGTTTGTTGCCTAATATCCCCATGTCTGCTTCTATCGGGCCCTTTGTTTCGCAGGTCTTCGTAACAATCTCCACCTTTCCGGTCGCTGGGCGGCAGTGGTACCATGGGATACCTCAACATTTGGGTATGGATCAATACCTATTAATACCATTTTTAGTGGGATGAACATTCATTTACCAGCTATTTTGATGTTCACCAGGGGTACAAGGTTTTGACCCATCCCCATTTTTGATCTTTTGTGGTGAAAATCCATGAAAACGCTGAGAACGCGCGCCATTTTGGGGTTCGCATCTTTTCAGACAAAGCCATAAACTTCGGTAAACCTTGGAAAGTTGATGATCAGGTCGTGGCAACAGCACATAGCTATGGAAAATTGCCATTGAAATCGTTGATTTACCCAGCTATAACATGGTGGATCTTTCCATAGTTTTTTGTAAACGTTTACCAGAGGGTATCTAATATCATTAGATGTATATATGATTGCATGACAGCTATTTCCAGTAACTCTTGATCTTTCGACCTCCGGACCGCACGAACTCGCTGAGGTTCCCATCATCCCCAGCTCTCCGCCATCTCCGCCATCGCCGCCATCGCCGGAGCCGCCATCGCCGCGGGTGTCCTCCAAGCGGCGGAATTCGCGGAGGGGCTCCAGGAGATCTTCCAAAGTGAAGGCGAGGCCATGACCACGGCTGGGGAATTTCGGAATGGATCATGAATAGGTTGACTTGTCATGACTTGTCATGACTTGTCTAGTTTTAGTAACCTAATATCAGTATATCTAAGATCCAAGTATTGGGGTAAGTACTCAATTTTGACTCATACTTAGTTGAAGTAGGTAGGTAGGAAGTGAAGTTTATCCAAAATGTCCCAAGTCCTCTTGAGTCAAATCATAGACAAGTGCAAGTTTAGTTTACTTGGTGGATCTTGGTGGTGTACCCCAGTTAGCGGGTTATTAAATAGCCCCAGGTTATAAGTGGACTATCCGCATGTGTCCTTACTGGGGATATCATGGGGGTTTAGATTTATGAATCTTCTACTGGGATGAAGGAGAAGCATGATGAATGCGATGGACACTGCATGGAAAGATGATGTTGAATCCAGTTTGATCATGGATCTTTGGGTTTTTGTTTGACCATGCGGTATTATAGGAGCAAATTGGAGCAAACATGATAGGATCAAGCGATGAACATTTTTGGGGTAGCCTATTTTCAGACAAAACCATCTTTATTTGAGAATTACAGTGTGATCATGATTGCAACTAGGTGTAAACATGGTTTTACGAACAGAAAACTTTTGGGCATATCTAAAAATAGGGAGCAGCTCCAGCTGTGGCACCTTTAATTGGGAAATGATGATAAAACTTAAAACCCATCAAACTTCAGAGGTATCCTATGTGCAAGCAATCCCATGTGAATTTGGCAATCACAGATCATGAAGTATCCTCATGTTCTATAGGACAGCGATGAATTTTATGTGTTGGTTCTCCATATCTTCTTCATTTGCCAGCTTTCCAGTGACACTTCCATTGGGAAAAAACATTTTTCCCCGGAACTGAGCCGCAGAAGTCCCATGTAGTTCCATACTTGGTGGCTCATCCCAGGAATCGTAAGTGGGATATAACCCCAGTGATTGACATGGGATAAGTAGGGTTAATCCACTTATAATTGGGGTTATAACCCACTTACTAAGTGGGATGAGCGACCAAGTAGGTCCTTCGGTCATTGTCATTTGCTGATCTTTTTTCGATCTTTTTCGGATGGTCCTGGATCGGGGAGCACCCGAAATTGTCCTGCGACGTTGTCCTTTCCAAGGTTTGCAGCAACGTTACCATTTTTTGACAATTGCACATGGGGACTATATATTATATATATATACATTTTTATATTAATAGTTAGTGTAGTTGGGGTCATTAGATATGTTTTTGTGTTGATTTAACACTAAGATTGGGACATCTTGGGCGGTTCACCGGTGAAATGGTGAACTTGATGCAGGTGTCAATGATGGATTGGATACCAGGATGGGTGCACTTTTTTTTTGGATGTCTATTTCATGTTTACAAACCTTCAAAAGCTGATCTTTTGTCAACCAAGGAAGTGAATAGTACAGTTCAGCTCCACGAATTTGTTGATGATGAATCAACCAAGACAGTCAGTGACTAGATGTGACTAGTAGCAGTGACTGTCAGGGCCATGTTTTTTCTTTAAAATCTATTAAGATTACATACTATATGATACTCAAATCTATTAAGATAATCATACAAAATGATACATTACTATTAATGATGCTATATGTTTTTTTTTTTTTTAAGGAAACCAAAACATGGTATGGTGAAGCATCTTCCGTCCTGTCGATTCTGGCTGCCACCTGGATGTCAACGGTTGGTTCGGGAGATCGCCAGCCAAGTAGCACCATCAACCAGCGAATTGACCCCTCATTGTGTCCGTATGAGTCCGATAGTGACTGTTTATATATATATATGTTAATTATATACATATATATGTGTTAAAGTGTTATATATGTGTTGACTGTATAATTTTTATATACTTCAGTGATATGTCTATAATACATAATTATATAATTAGACTAAGTATTATAGACATATCACTGAAGTACGTTCATTGTTCAGTGATACTTGATATGGGTTTGTTTGAAAGTAGGGTCATTAGACAGAAATTGATAGTTGATTATCATGTTCTCACCAAAATAGCCATACCAATAGCCCTATTTCAGACAAACCCATATTGTTACAACCTGGGGCCCCGCCAGTGATGTTTGTTGGCTTGTAACCCCATTATCTATAGTTATCGTAAACCATGGTCGTTATTGGAGTGATGTTCACCAACTTACAGTAGCTATCGTAAACAGTGGCCCCACATTGTAATGATTATCATCCTTATATAATCTTATATATGTCATTGTTATATTCCATGGAATCATTCATAAAATCCATATATGGGATCTCGTTATCATATATACTGTATATTATATTAATATATATAATAGATGTATATCATTGGCCAAACCATAGAAATTTACCCATATCATTGACGAAACCATAGAATCCATGCAAGAATTACCCACCATAAACCACAAAAAAATTCCCCATTGATTTGCACCAACTATTTAGGACGTGGCAGCCACGGCATGCCAGGTGCAAACTGGCGTTCGCTTGGCTCCCGCGTTCTCCTGGCACTATTTTTTGAAGCCACTTAATTTTGGTGGTTGAACTGGCAATTTTTGGTGGGTGAATGATGATTTACCCTCTGGTTATGACCAACATAGCCATGGGAAATGGATTTAACATTTCGCCATGGTATAGATGGCCCATTTATAGATGGTTTACCTATTAAAAATGGTGATTTTCCATGGCTATGTTAAATAACCAGATGGTAACTATAGCCAAAATAGTGGGTGAATGGTGGTTTAAACGTTTAAACTAGCAACCATCAATAAAACTCAGGGTTTTGCTAAGCAACATGATGGTTTTTGACTATACAAATGAGGGTTCAACCAGATGACAGGGATGATTCTCAACCCAAATGATTTCACTGGTTTATGAGAAATGAGAAAAGGACCCCAACATGGTTTTGGTTAAGCCTCCATTTTATATGGGTATGGATCAATACCTATTAATATAATTTTTAGGGGAATGACCATCCATTTACCAGCTATTTTGATGTTCACCAGGGGTACCAGGGTTTTGACCCATCCCCATATTGGTTTTGTTCCGTAACATTATGTCACCACTTATTTGAGTTCCAGGTTTTGTGGATCACATAGCTAGTCTGCATCAAGCATCAAGATCCAAGAACTCTTGAATTCACAAAAAACATGCAAAAACAACTAACATGTGTATCCCCAAAGTGATTTCCAAAGGGAGGTCTTACGGTGAACACCTGGCGAATCAAATCCATATGCAGGTTATGTTTGTTTGTTCATATCCACATCCAAACATAGATATTTTGACCATAACTGCGATAACTCTCAATTCTGATGCTAGTTATCGCATGTTATGAGCCAATTTGCCCATCATTTATTGGTTCTATAGTACTTATAATCCAATTCACCTATCATTTATTGATATTTTTTATTGGTTAGTTAAAGGAATCCAACCTTTCATCCCTTGCACTTCTTGGTGTCCAGTTGTCGAACTTGGGAACAGCCAGGCGGGAACCTGAAGCTGTGCGGACTCTCAGAATTTGTCCTGGCTTGGTTAGTATCCAAACATTCCAATGATAGTTCTTGTACAATATATATGCACCAGGCCCTGCCACCCCCCCCCTCCCCCCCCCACATGGGATGGGTCCCATATACTGGCCCCATATGAGATCTTCCCCCTCCCCCCCCTGTGGTGTGGTGGGGGTGTGGTATGGTATGTTGGGTATGTATGGTGTGTATGGTCGGTCTGGTATGGCATGTTTGGAAAGTATGGTATGTTTGGTATGTATGGTAGGTATGGTATGTATGGCATGAGTGGTTGGTATTGTATGGATGGTAGGTATGGTATGTAAGTCTGTTGGGTATGGTATGTTTGATATGACAGTATGTATGGTCTGTATGGTATGTATGATTACTATTATGGGTATGGGATATTTCTTATGTAGGTAGGTATGGTATGTATGGCATGTATGTTTGCTATTGTATGTATGGTAGGGGTGTGGTAATTACATTTCATATGTATGGTATGTACGGTATGTATGGTATGCATGGTATGTATGGTATGTATGATAGATATGATAGGTATGGTATGCATGGCATCATTGACATGTATGGTAGGTACGGTATATGTTAAACACAGGTAGTGTTGTCAGAGTACACAGGTAGTAAGTAGGAAGTAGATACAGTAGATGCATAGCACATGTATATATGACTATAGGTAGCACGTAGGTACTTTGAAGGAGTATGTGTGCTACGTAGGTCGCCTAAAAGGTAGCATGTACCTAGTAAATGCGAGGCTGGTAGTCAGAAATGCTGCAAAGACCTAGCAAATACGAAGCTGGACCTCAGAAATGCTGCCAATAGCTTGCAAATAGAAGGGAATTGGGGCTGCTACCTGGAGACCCAGCACTGTCCCCCTCCCCCCCTGTGGCGTGGTGGGGGTGTGGTACTGTCCCCCTCCCCCCCTGTGGTGTGGTGGGGGTGTGGTATGGTATGTTGGGTATGTATGGTGTGTGTGTGGTCGGTCTGGTATGGCATGTTTGGAAAGTATGGTATGTTTGGTATGTATGGTAGGTATGGTATGTATGGCATGAGTGGTTGGTATTGTATGGATGGTAGGTATGGTATGTAAGTCTGTTGGGTATGGTATGTTTGATATGACAGTATGTATGGTCTGTATGGTATGTATTGTTACTATGATGGGTATGGAATATTTCCTATGTAAGGTAGGTATGGTATGTATGGCATGTATGTTTGCTATTGTATGTATGGTAGGTGTGGTAATTACATTTCATGTGTATGGTATGTATGGTATGTATGGTATATGGTATGTATGGTATAGATATGATAGATATGATAGGTATGGTATGCATGGCATCATTGACATGTATGGTAGGTACGGTATATGTTAAACACAGGTAGTGTTGTCAGAGTACACAGGTAGTAAATAGGAAGTAGATACAGTAGATGCATAGCACATGTATATATGACTATAGGTAGCACGTAGGTACTTTGAAGGAGTATGTGTGCTACGCAGGTCGCCTAAAAGGTAGCATGTACCTAGTAAATGCGAGGCTGGTAGTCAGAAATGCTGCAAAGACCTAGCAAATACGAAGCTGGACCTCAGAAATGCTGCCAATAGCTTGCAAATAGAAGGGAATTGGGGCTGCTACCTGGGGACCCAACCCATGGGGGGGGGGGGGGGGGGGGGGGTGGAGAGACGGAGGACGGGACCATATATATATATAATATGGGTACCAATCTTGGTTAGTACCAAACATTATCACAAGAACTATATAATATGGGTACCAATCATTCCAAACACTGATGGGGACCATCATTGGGTACCAACTGTCATTGGAATTATCTAGGTACCCTCCTGAACAACACAACAACTACTGTATCATTGGGTAGGGTACCCATCATTTGTGCTGAATATACCATGATATACCCATATCATGGTGGTTTTACATGGTGGTAGATCCTTGGGAAAATCATGGGGAAAATCACCTCTAGATGGAGGTTTCTGGGAAAATCATCGAACTACCCTCTGGTAATTTGTGACATCACTATGGAAATTCTGGCCCTTTCTGGATGATGTACCTACTCGAAATGGTGATGTTTACCAGATGTTAAGGGGAACCATCCCCAAATGCCTGAAGCTTTCAGTGAAATCTTCTGATTTGCCATCACATAGTAAAAATGTTTGCCACATTTAAACCTTAAAATGTCAGATTGTCAGTGGGTGGCATTCAGTTGTTTATCAATGTTTATAAAACATGGATATGTTCAATATTGTTCAATCACATTGTGAATCAATGAAATACTGTGGATGGGCCAGCGAAATCCGAATCACCAGTTGAAAACGGTGGTTTATCCCATTATTTAACATTATTTAAGGGTTTCAACCTTCCCAAATTGGTGGTGCCAGATTTCGCAACCATCCACCGTTGGACGTGTTGTTTCACATGGGGTACTATAGGGACATAGGGACCATGAACTGTTCACGACTTTTGCGCAGCTACCACGATGTGGGATATCCCAAGATGAAAACGTAGTTCAACTTGTGTTCAAATTCCCTTAGTCATGTTTGGAATCACGCTTAAATTGTTCCCATCCACTAGTTACATCTATTTACCTAATTGGTGTGTAAATGTCTTCAGGATCCAGGATCCCCTACAGGAATTTCGCTGCGAAAAGGCAAATCCGGAAAGTCGTCTCGTTTCTTCTTTCCGCGAGCTGAATGCAGCAAAATTTTCGCAGCATCCATGTTTTTCGATTGAACTTATTACAACTGCAGCGTTTACATGAACTGAGGATCTCACACACTTACCTAGATGTTTTTCAATGTTGCATTTATCTTTGGCACGGACATTTTATGTGAGTCATTTAGCAAAGGCTAAGCTTAAAAGTCTATACTTCCGTGTTACGGAGTTTTGACAGCATCATGAAAACATTAATTAAAACGTTGACTCATGATTTTTTTGGTTCCCAGTCCCTCAGACATCCAGACACTTCCGGAGAAGGTATTTTTGATACCCCAGAAACCATAGCCCTAGGCCCAGATCTTGGTGGCGGTGCTGGAAGCCCATTGGCGCGATCAGGTGCACCATCACGGAACCACATCACAGTTTTTGTAGGTGGTATATGGTGGTATACTTAAACCATTCCCAGAAAGTCATGGGTGGTCAAAATGGCATTGTTTTACCCACATTGGTCCATATTAATCCATGTTACCCGGCCTGGTAAACATACAAAGAAACTATGGAGCATCACCATTTTTCATAGGTAAATCAACTATTTCAACTATTTCCGATTCAAACTTCCATTCGAACTCGCGGATGTTCCAGCCCGCCACGTGGCATTGGATTTATAAACCAACTTTGACTCCACAAATGCAACAGCCACGTCTTTAAAGACGTGACTCTTAATGATCTATGATTTGGATTGATTTGGGGAGTCACCTTTGTGGGGTGTCCGTTGAATCATGATTAGTGTGTTTTTTTTGCTAAAAATTGGGATGCCTTGACTCATTCAAAATAGCAGACCATCCAAGATTGGTCAGACACTTAACGACATGTCCCATACTGCCGCTGCCTCTTGTAGCCTTGATCAAACTTGCGGGGAGACACCCATTCCATCAAACGTCACTTACCGGAGATGGACTCCCATTGACTGGGTGTTGTTATCAATGGAGGAATAGGCATTGCTGAAAATGCTCAGCTTCTTGTAGGGTTTCTAAGATTTGCGATGTAATATGTTTGTGTTGGTTGGGATCTCAATCAAGATGTTTTCTTCGAAAACCCGGTTAAACAGACAGCCATTTTATTTGGTTACATATCCCAAAAATATTACCCACCGGTATCTCAGACACGAATTACTATTGGTATCTCTTGGTTCTTATCTCCCAATTTTCCGGATGACACCGCTTCAAACACCAACTCTATCGTTGTACAATGTTGTACTTAAAAAAGTTCCCCAGTTCTACAGAACGGTTTCTCGAAGTGCCGCGTTGCTTTAGAGGCCATTTTCAAACTCGTTCTGAAGATCTTGACGATCTCTTGTGCCTCAGCAAGGGCGGACAGCAAGGGCAGACAGCAAGGGCGGGCGGTGAGGAAAGGGCTGTCAGGAGACCGTTCTTGAGAAGTGAGGCTTGATATCGTGTTTGCTAAGTGGTTATATGAAGTGGTTATATATGTTATATGTCAATAGAATGGAACAATGGTATAATATGGTATAATATCATACTGGTTGGTGGTTTGGAACATTACTTTTTTTTTCCATATCTTGGGAATGTCATCATCACTGACGAACTCCATCATGTTTCAGAGGGGTGGCTCAACCACCAACCAGAAGTGCTGCCCTAAGGTCAAGGTTTAGACGTGGAAAACCCACCAAGATCATTGAATCATTTTCCCAGTGTCTTTCCCCAGGGCTTTTTCACATCTTTTCGTCCACGGTTTACCTGAAGAGGGTATCTCCCAACGATTGGAGGTTTTGTTCCCATTCAAAAGCCATTTCTATCGGATTTTCCCCATGATTTTCCCCATGGGACCCGGGGATTCCGGGAGGGCGGCGGCTTAGCGCCTCTGGTGAACAGATATTGAACATGGCCATACACAAAAATCTAAAACCTCTGGTAAACATACAAAAAACTATAGAAAACTACAATTTTTTATGGGTAAATCAACTATAAATGGCTATTTTCAATAGTTAAATGCACTTTAGTAACCGATCCCTTGGTAACCAGAGGGTATATGGTAAATATTTACCTATCACTAGGCCAAACTATCAGAGGTAAATATCTGTTTAGTAAATATTGATATGGCAAACCTTTGGTAAACTAACGATGGAGCATCATTGTGCGAAAATGCCAAATCTAGATGATTTACCCATTTCACATCTAAAAAGAAAAAACATACAAAAAGCTATTGAAAATGACCATTTATAGTGAGTTTACCCATTTCACATCTTGATTTTCCATCGTTACCTTCGTTTACCAGAGGGTATATAATGGCAAAAAGTCTCCTGAGGAATGGTCGGTCAAAAGCGTCAAAACCCCAAGGCGAACAGACGCAGCTGTGCCGCTGTTTCTTCGTTTGGGGCTCAACGGAATGCTGGCGGAATGGGGGCTGTGTCTTGGTCAGGTTGCTCAATGGGTCGACATGTCTCACTTGAAGATGGTCATCTATATACAGTATATATATATGTACATGTATATATATATATTTACAGTATATATAGTATATATATATACATATGTATATATATATATATACTGTAAATATATATATATAGACCCATGTCAAGCAACCTTTCTCTTGGAGCTTTCAAAAAAAAGGTGTTGCAGCTGATCTCTCCCCCGAATTTCTGCTTGGTTGGCGGCGTCACTCTTCACGACCCTGGCACCCCCAGTTGGGTGCCAGGGTGCCAGGGTGCGGTGAATGATCAACCTCCAACAAGTTGGCATGGTGTTATAAATAATCACAGTTTTATGACATATCTTTTTAATATAATAATAATATATAATAATGATCATAATATTTTAATAGCATAAGTAATGATCACAGGAGTTGGGATGGTGTTTATGATCATCATAATTATTTTACTTATGATTGCAATAACTAATAGTAAAAACAACAATAGTACAATGTGTCAATAGTGTTGTAAACCCAATAAGAATCCATTCCCAAGTTCACTATAAATGGATGGTATAAACCCTTCAAAACTAGAGGTTTGTGGCATTGTGTTTACCACATTACCAAACATGTTCGTCATGCCAATGGTTTATAGTAAAATGTAATGGTACAATACCACAATAATGATACAAGTAATAGCAATAACAATAGTACAATACAAATTCTTATAGTAATAAAAGTAATAACAACAATAGTACAATAACAATCGACGTTTGCTATGATATAACAATATAAAACACATAAAACTATTTCCAATAAAAGACAATATCACAGGAACAATACTAAACATAGAATAGTACTCACAACTCTCTCATCGTAAAGTATATCATAGTGTCACAAGTAATAATTAATCACAATACATTATATACCAACAAGAGGTAATTTGTAATAATATATAATACTGTAAGTTAATATCATAGAAATAATAATATTTGTATAATTAGTACACTTGCTATGATAGCAAAACATGATAATCTGATAATAATAACAATAATAATAGTAATAATAACAATAATAATAGTAATAATAATAATAATAATGTAATATCACAATGATATTTAATAATTACTATGATATCAATAAATGGCACCAAGATCTGAAAACTCGGCTCCGTTGCTGCCAGGAAGCGGGGCTCAGCTCCGGCCTGCGGCGCTTCTTGCGGAAGGTACGACGAGGCCGCGGGATTTGTCTGGGGATCCTGTAGAAATATGAATATACCCTCTGGTAAATTAACATAGCTATTGAAAATGGCCAGTTATAGTGGATTTTCCCATTAGAAATGGTGATTTTCCATAGTATCCCCAATATCAGTTACCCTCTGGTTATTTAACATAGCCATGGAAAATCCCAACCATAAATGGAGGTTTCTAGCTGGGAAAATCATCTATTTCTATGGGCCATCTATACCATGGCTATGTTAAATAACCAGAGGGTAACTGATTACTGTAGTTACCCTCCAGTAAATCAACAGTTTGACCCTGAAAATCACCCATTTTTAATGGTTTCACTAGTCTTCCAACCCCGATGACTGCCAGGGTCTATGTTAATTTACCAGAGGGTAAATTGTGCTTCATAATCTTACTGGTGCTTAGCAGGGAATGGATGGGTTGCTGGGGGTTGCTGGGATGATTATTACTAGTTATTGCTCATTCCCTACGTTTAGCACCACTAAGTAATTTTATAAAGCAACTTATAACTGGTGTGCGCCACATTGTCACGGGGGATTTGTTGTAAAGGGATTGTAGGGGTCTTTGGTGATTTCCAAGGGGTTTAGAAAGATTGTCTAACATAAACATCAATAATAAGGGACTGAACCAACACTAATCAGGTTTTAACCCTAGAGTTGGTTGGCGCTTTCTGTTATTTGCTACAAGTTTCAACGAAATGAGATGATGTTCTCCCAATTCACAAGCATATTTTCTCAGATGAGTCGAAGATTTCCACAGCCTTCGAAGCCACGGCGTTGACCTCCTTAGTATACATGAAACCACCAGGGATGATATATGGTGGCTGGGAATTTTATATAGAACGCATGTGAAATAGTATGGAAAACTGTGAATTACCACCAACCAGGGATGATGGATTTTTAATTAGATATATAGAACAAATATGAACAATTATGGTCAACTGGGGGTTGAAGATGGTTTACATAAGAGTTTAACCAAACTAAATTCGACAGTGGATTCAAGCACGAACCAATGGTGCCTGCTTCCTACTTTCATGGACATCTAAGGAATAAGAAATTCGCGAGAATGTGTACGTATAGGTTATTCGAAAATATGAGATGGTCTATGTGACTATCATATATGGTCTACTTGTAGTAAATGACAGGCCACGGAGTTAATTATCTGGTGATTTAGCCGATGATTTAGCCAATCAGAAATTAACAATGGGGTTTTATGCCCATAATAGCCCATGATGATTCAACAGCCTCAGTTTGAACGCCAAATGAAGACGATCCACAGTATTAACGTCAAAGATGTTGCGCCCGCCCATGATTTTGGGGATTTATTGCTACTGTATAGGCGATTTATTGCCAGTTCTAGGATGCAATAGGGGATATAGAACACTTACTAATCATGGGTTCAAACTTACAAACACAACCATCATATTTCACCCAAGTGGGGTTGCAGAATGGCCCAACCACTCGTAAATAGATGGGAACCTCACTGCAGTGGCGTATCCAAAGGTGAGCCACCTGTGGGACCTTGATTGTTGGGGCTGATGATGGTGATGCCCCCCAGCTATAAGTTGGGTGATGTTCGCCCAAAACTAGATGTATCCCAACTATAGATATATCATATATCCATAATCATCATAATCCATATGTATATATATATACAATAAGCCTAGTTAGGCAAGTTAGAGACAGACATATAGCTGCAATGTGGAGCCCCTGTTTACGAAATCGCCAAGTTGGCAAACAAACTCCAATTTCATCATGGTTTATGATACTTATAACATCTTTTAACTTATAACGATCATGGGCTTTACAACCAACCGTTAACGTTCACATCACATTTGGGGGCCCCATGGACCTAGCCTGCAGGTGAAGTCGAAGAGTGCTGGTTCGAGGAGCTCATGAAGGGGTTATTGCCCTCTGGTAATTTCTTACAAAGCTATGGAATTGATTTTCCCATGCAAATACATGAGTTACTGGAACATGGCCATTGAAGAGTTTGATGATTTACTTGTTAAAAATTGTCATTTTCCACCGCTATTTTATGAATTACCAAAGGGATCCAAAGGGTATAGGCATGGCACGGGAAATAGTGGGCGATTCTATCAGCAGAACCGAGCTATATGCAAAAATAGATGATGGAACCGACATAGCTGGGAATTTACCACCAAAAGCAACGGAGTAAAGTAGCAAACATGACAATTCTTGTGACAAACATGTGTACATCCAGGAACAGAATAGCGGGGATATAGGGTGAACTAAACTGGTTGGTGGTTTGGAACATTTGGATTATTTTTCCAGAGATTAAGAATCATAATCCCAACTGGCGAACTCCATCATTTTTCAGAGGGGTAGGCTCAACCACCAACCAGTAAATCTCGCCATTGATATCTCACCCACATGTTCTTCCACCGGCCCTTCGGGGCCCTTCGGGGCCCTCCGTACTACGGCGGGCCGTATCTGAAGATACGGTGCTTCGGCCTGGGTCATGGGACCCCAGGGGATGACTTACGATGATAGGCCATGCTTTAGCCAGTTACAAGCCACGGAAACTATCTACTTACCCTCTGGTTATGACTAACACAGCCATGGTATAGATGGCCCATAGAAATAGATGGTTTACCGAACTTAAAAATGGTGGATCTTTCCATGGCGATGTTAAATAACCAAAGGGTAACTAATCCCAGGGCCCATCGAAGTGTAGCCAAACACCTAAAGTGTCGACAGCCAAATCGGGCAAAATCCATGCCGAGTGCCTTGGTATCAAGTGACGGCCAAGCAGGCCTTTAGAGGGTGACTTAGGGTGACTTTGACCAAGCAGTGGAGCCGGCAGGCAGAGGTCTGCCAAGCATACTATAGTTGTGTTTGGCCCCTGGAGGCTGGAGAACATAGACCAGCAAGGCAGAGGAGGGATGCCTCATGATCACAGATGTCAGGCGCGGACGGATCGAATCAGAGTTTGATTACGCAAGGCAGAAACTTCATCCCTCGAACTGGCGGAATGTTGCCATCTACCTAGAGGTAGACAAGTGCGAGATTGGACAATACGTCTGATCGCTTCCGGATGGTCGCCAAGTGCAGCGCATCTCGATGCAGTTTGCTGAGGCAGTGGAGAGAGCTTAGAGAAACCAAGCCTGTGCGATGTCACAGATCAAGACGTCAGCGCTTGGCGGCTCTCTCCTAGCTGATATGAAGGGGGTAAGTGGTTGATTGGTTGGTGAACAGGTTTCCTAAGTCATGGGGGTTCCCCCAAATCCTCCGTTTTGCGGGATTTTCCATGGGATTTTCCATCAACAAAAACATCGAGCTATTAGGGCACCACCATTTATGGAACATCCCTAATATCCAAGTTTTTGATGATTCTTCAGACTTTGAGATGATTTTGATGAATTTTGTTTTGAACCATCTAGAAAGTCGCCAACATGGGAGCTGCTTTGCCCGGTGGATACGCGCAGTATGGGATTGATGACCATAGCAATATCCCGCGTTTTGACGCACATGAAATGATGTACAAGCAACAAACAAACATGTTTAATGTGGGTTGAGCTATCATTTCATCACATTTTTTTTGAATGCATCGCTAGCTTACTGGGATGTTGAGTGGACAGCTTGACCTGGCATTGTGTACACCACCTTCCACAGGGAACTACAGATGGGATGCCCGAATCAACCCCCAGCTGGTTTCGAGACATGGGGATGCGTCGTTCAGCGTTCAAAAGCATTGATACCAACACTGGTTGCTGGTTTCAAACATGAATGGATAATTTTTTTCCCATCATATTGGGAATGGAATAATCATCCCAATTGACTTGAACTCCATGATTTTTCAGAGGGTAGGCTCAACCACCAACCAGCAAAATTTGTAGGATTACCATCCCCATTTGCTCCATGGTGCTGGAATATTTATCAACATCCCCAAAGGTCACACAGTTTCCAGACACCTCGGCCGCAGGACATGAAAGGTCGGATTGGAATGAGCTCGAAGTGGGAACAGCCCAGAGGATGTTGTGGATGATGTGCCCAACTGCGAATCAACTTGCCATTTTTGATATAGGTTAGACATGGAACATATTGAATATTGCAGAAGATGGTTGCTAAGTGGATATAATTATATTTACAGTAGTATATATGTATATATACCCTCTGGTAAATTAACATAGACCCTGAAAATCACCAATTTTTAGTGGAAACGGAAGACCTTCCAGTTAATTTACTGGAGGGTATTCCTAGAATCGTCGTTTTTCCGAGGTTATATCCCAACTTAGGGGGATCTATAACTCTGGGAAGAATTTTTGACCATCCCCGCTGATCCAGGTCGATGGGTAGAAACTAATTCAACATAGTCTTTTGGTATCAATGGGATTATCTACGTTCACCAGCTAAGAAATTATTTTGTTTGCAGGGTATCTAAGATTGGCCATGATGTGACATGGGTTGTATTATCATTTTGTACAAATTCTTGTATTTGTTGTAATATATTACTGTAATTCATCCCCTTTTTGAATTGGACGTTTATCCCAGAAGTGGCCCAAAGGGAACATCAACATTTCCCCTTTCATCAACCATTATGTGTGATGTGTTGATTATCCGTTATTCATTGGTTAAATCACCATTTTTGATGGGCAAGTTTCATTGTTATTAACCAAATTCGTGATTAGTTTATTGTCATCCAAAATATCAAACATATCCAATATATCAAAAATTCATTATCCAACTATGGTCATCTATTTTTCAACATATTTCATCCTAAATCGAGTTCCCAAAATTTTTTGACAATGACAATCCAGTGTGATATGAAAACACTATTTTTTTAGTACTCCCTGGTAAATTAACAGTTGGACTACCCTGAAAATAGCCAATTTTTAATGGAAACGGACAATCTTCCAACCCCTGGCAGGGTCTATGTATGGAGTGATTTCCATGGCTCATCAGGTCCTTACGGAAGGCCAAAGACGCCATCCTCGCGCGCATGCGGGTGGGGGGTACCGAAGGGGTACCGAATGACCTGAGCAGGTGATGTGATTTGACAAGCATATTTAAGTTAAGTAACCATCAAAAAATATCGATAACCATCATTAAATAACCATCACTTTGAGTTAAACAACCATCAAAAAATATGGATTTAAGATGATATTAAGATGATATTAAGCATTGAAGCATATAATAATTGAAGAGTTTGCTATGTTTGCTGTGGAAAATTATCCATTGTTAAGAAGTCATTGAAGTAAATGGGTAATTTTCTATAGCTATCTTAGTTGAACTCATGGCACTTGGTATTTTTTTGCTAGAAATAAATGGAGGAAGAAATTTGTTAAGCAGCTCAAGAACATAAGTTTTGAAGGGGATCTAAGACTGGCCATGTTTATATAGATGACAAATTCCACTTGGTATATAATTGGCGGTGTTTGCGAGCGCCACACAGACAGACAATTCCAAAGACTTTCATCCCCACAAGGTGGTAGCTAAGTTCGCAAACATAAGTCCCATATACTTCAATAATTAGGGTTTATGATAGGTACCTATCAAACATCATTGATCTTTATAAAAATAGGGTATATGAATTTGCATATACTATCGTTATTTGGGTTCATCAACATCTTTTTATTTGCAGGCCCCGAGCATGGTTCGTGAGGGAGGAATCGAGAAGAGACATGGAATTTCATCATCAATTTTTATCTTGTTTATGTATATATATAACTTATGTAACTTTTCCCAACCAAACCCCTCCAAGGAAAACCATCCCCGAATCCTCTCTTTGAAACTCACATTGATTCATTTCCAGGATATTCCTATTATATTTCCATGACATTCCAATCTCGTGGACATTCGTGATAACCCACGAGATTTCCCAAAGGTTCAGCCAATTTCTTGGCGAAAATCACCAGGCACTCACCTCGATCGGCTTCCACCGAGGTCACGCAAGCGATCAGAGAAGTTGAAGACGGTGGCTTCGGCGGACAGGGCAGAGACTATACAAATCGTGGGTTGTTTTTTGACATCTGAATTATCATAGTTATAGAGAGTTATGATATGTTATGATGTTAGTGTTATAAGTTATAAATACAGTAACTAAAAACAAATTTATGTATATATATATTAATAATATCTGACTAGTTATAGTGCATGATATTACTCATAGTTCAACTGGGCGAAGTATACAGAGCAGCACTGCAGAAAGTGCCGTGAATGCTATCCCCTTGGGATCCAGCTATCCCAGAGGTCTCTGGATCCCTAGGCCAGGCTATGTTCACAGTTTCACAGTTTCACCATCGTAAAAATGATTGATGAATGGATCTTCCAGCATGTCATATCATGTCATATTACCATCTGGTTATTTAACATAGCCATGGAAAATCACCATTTTTAATAGGTAAACCATCTATAAATGGACTATTTCCCATGGCTATGTTAAATAACCAGAGGGTATCTTTGGAGACCCCTGAATTGCTACCAAGGCTTCAAAAAAATGTGGGGCCCTCCAATTGCAAAGATGTGTATAAGTTGCTTTATGACCCACATCAACTACAGTTGTTTTGCCAAGAACTTGCCCTTGCGCGAAGAACATGACGGCAGTGGTGGTGTCTTGCAGCCGTTGCGGACTTGCTTGGCTGGTATGGCAGTTGACATTCCTTGCCATGATTTGGTGGCAATTTATCATGGCTCCCTAAGAGTTTTCTATACTTCTACAAGTCATTATAAATCAACTTGGCTATATATCCTGAATCATTTCTAAGTCACAATTTTTGCTGGTGATTTCCCTACAGTTATGGCCCTTTAGCAGTTATAAGTACTCGAACAAAACCAATTTATGGAATGTATAATCCCATAGAAATCACCAGTTATAACTATATAATAAATGGCCATAATTTTAACTAGTTATAACTAAAAAAGTAGCCAAATACATCCAAATACTAAGTTTTCCTGGTGAATTCCCTATGTTTTTGACGGTTCAAACCGCTTAAAACGGTGAAATCGTTTGGGCCCCCCAGCGGACACCCAGGCTGCTGGCAGATGTTGCAGGCTCTGGCGGTGAATGCTGGAGGAGGTCCGGGAGATTCGTTGGGGGGGATCGTTTTGGTTTCCTGGCTCTGTGCCTTCTATAATAGTTATACATTAATAATTATTATTATTCTTACTATCAATATTATTATTATTATTAATTATTCTTATTATTACTATTATTATTTATATATCATATATATATATTATACGTATATATATATAACTGGGTGATTTCATAAATCCCAAGCATCAATGTTTGACTGTGATAAAGATATAGGATTTGACATCAACAATCACCATGACAAAAAAACATCACCATGACAAGTCATGATTCCTGATTGGGAAACTGAGGTTCTCAACCACTGGAATGGTAGGTGGCTGGGGTACCCTATTTGGGTCAGAACTTATGAGACCATCATCGCATGAAACATCCATGTTTTAAAGCTATTTTGATGTGAAAACCCCGGGTGCTTTGTGGGTGACGCATGGCCACATCGCTTGTTCGCCCGCTCGACCTCCTGGAAACCCCGTGGAATGTCCGATCCATTGGCATTTTGGGTGACCGTTGAGGACACAGGGAACCTGGAAAGCTGGCGGTTTGAGACGCGCATTGCGCAGCAAAGATATGCGGTAAGTTATAGCCTCTGGTAATTTTTACATCACTATGGAACATCGGCATTTTTCAAGAGGTATATAAATCATCTATAAATCTATATAAATTTACAAATTCTATAAATGGACAATTTCTCCATAGCAAAGTGTTCAATTCCTGTACCAGAGGATATGAGGCAGCAAAGGTCATTCACACTGTGGAATTTCAGGGGGCAAAAAGTGTCTCAAGAGATTGCGATCGAGTTTAAAGATTCAGATCCTTTGGAGAAATTGATGGCTAGATCCAGGTTGTTTGAACCAATTTGTAGCTAGTCGGGGTGCTTTTTCATACCCTAGGGATCCAAATGCCTCCGGAGGAGGTAGCCGACCCCAGAAATCATACCCCAAACACTTCCTAAGGAGGTATATACTTGGATCCATAGGGATAGTACCTCACTTGTTGTTCTGTGTCTGTCCGAATGACTGCAATGCTTAAGGGGACTGACTTCGCTAACCAGAAATTGGAGGGTAACTAATAGGTGCGTTTGTTGGTGCCCCCCTGTTATGTTTGTTGGTTATTAAGCTAACTGA